GCAGTGATCTTGCACTCTGTATAAAAGCGGCCATAGCACATTCAATAAAATTCAGCGCTAATTTCTGTCCATTTCGTCTCTTCCTACCGTTGTGGCGCTGTAACTATACAATACAACCAACAGAGAACGCTTTCAGTTGCAGGGAGGTGTTCGCCTTACTGCAACTCATACCACGGTGAAGCCACCTTGCGCACGAGCTCAATTGAAACGCGGGATTTGGAGGCGCCTATGAAATGCGAATTCAGCTGTTTCTTTACCGTTTATCTGTGAATTACGGTAGTAAACATCCCGAACGCTCCACACCATGCTCCTTGTTTTTCGTTCATGAAGAAAACAGCACAATGGCATATCATCGGCGCACACGCTAGGCAGATTCTAAAAGAGTGCAAAATCTTATAACACAGTGTCTTAGCGAAAACATGGCACCTGCAACTACCAAAAGCGACAGCAATACATCCATCTGAAAGTAAGATGGAGCTCGCGCACACACGCGACATAAATTCACGCCTATGCATGAATCAACACACACGAACATATATATATACAGGCGCACATGTGCACAGAACATGCACGTACCCACACGTAAACACACACCTGAGCACACACCTGAACATCATGGAGAAAGCGGTTCTCACCAAAATCAGGTTGAAGAAGATGCTGGCCACTTCAGCCTTCCGTCCGTTGATGATCTTGGAGGCCAGCATCTGGACGCAGATGTCCAACCCACAGTGCGCCAGCAGCATGGCGCGGTTCACCGGAAGCCACTCCCGTGACAGCACTGTGCCATCCGGAAGTGCACGTACGTTTGTCAGGTGCAAAGTGTACATGATAGAAGAAGAACAGTTGTTTTGGGTTAGTTTGCTGAATTCCATGTTGATGTGGGTTTCAGCGCAAGCACCAAAGTGCTGGGAGAAAAGCGTAAGGAAGGCGAGGAATGAAAGGCAAAGAGCGACAGCTCTCCTGTTGTCCCACTTTGCCTTTCGTTCCTCGCCCTCTTTGCGCTTTTCTCCCAGCCCTTTAGTGCTTGTGCTGCAACCCCCATTTACACGATAGAGCCGTCTCAGAGGGCAAGCAATTCACCGCGTGATAAGCTCAACTACCTAGCGTTCGCTTCCGCGAAGCACTTCTAATGCCCCCAGCACCGATTCCTCACTCCCCCCCCCCCCCCCACACACACACACGCGAACTACTCTAGCCGATACAGTCTTCTTTTAGAAACACAATGTCTCTCATGCGTTTGTGAATGCTTCATTCAAACAATCCCACAGGACATAGCGAAAGACTTGCGGCGTCGCAAAACTGCAGCGGGAGGCATCGCTTGGCTGCTTCGCTTTATGAACAAAATCAGAAATTCTCTTTGTACGTTCAAAGACCTGCGTGTAACTTACATGCACGACTGAGCACAGGACATGAGGATTTAGACTATGATTCTGCGATTATTTCTGAGGAAATCTTCCGAGTAGACGGAGACAGGCCAGTTGACCATTACCGAAAGGCTATAATATGACTGACAAACTTTCTATCCAAGACGGGCTCGATCGGCCTCAGCAAACACGCGTTATGAATGAGTACGCGCAAGACGCGCCAGCGCGAGCACGTTTAGTGCACGTACAAAACTCCTACACGTATTCCGTTTCATAGTATGCACTACACAGACTGGACATAGTATACACATATACGTTTCATAACGTACTGCTTGGAGAACACGCGGTCAGTTTACTGCACTGTTGCGTGCATTCGATAAAAGTTTCCCTCTATCTCCAACCTACTACAATTTCGACCAATAGAGCAGCGACCAGTGTGAATGCACTTACCAAAAAGCTCTTCGAGCACCGTGATGGTGTCGTCCGAATTCCATCCCACAGCGTCCTCGTGCAAGCACGTCAGCACCCCTGCTATATGCGCCAGCGAGGTGCGCAGCAGCTGTGACATCAGCGCCGTGTGGGGCAGCGACGGCAGCGTCCACAGGATCTCGTCTGCGGGTGCACGGAACTATGTTTAGCCTAATGCCTATGTTTAGGCCTAATGCCTATATTAGGCCTAACTATGTTTAGGCCTAATGTACTCGGCTGCTGACCCGCAGGTCACGGGATCGAATCCCGGCTGCGGCGGCTGCATTTTTCGATGGAGGCGAGAATGTTGTAGGCCCGTGGGCTCAGATATGGGTGCACGTTAAAGAACCACCCAGATGGTCTAAATTTCCGGAGCCCTCCACTACAGCGTCTGTCATAATCATATAGTTGTTTTGGGGACGTTCAACTCCACATATCAATCAATAAATCAACCGGAGCTATGTTTACTTTCTGCGTATCTCAATTTTCTGATGCCATGTTATTTTGATAGTGTTCCATGATGATGTTCCGTGATGATGTTCCAGATATTGACAATTGCGACGCCGGAATGACGTCGTACAGTGATAACAGCCCACAAGAAACATGATCTAAACTGCCACTATTTTGCCTTTGTATGACCTAGTTGGCTCACATTCAAAGAATAGAAACTTTTCAGATTCTATTATAATCAGGATGTACTTATAATTAGCTACACTGAAATCCCTTGAAAAGGATCGGTCCAATGTGATCATTAAAAGTGAATGCATCCGCCAAACCACGAAGCAAGTATGCTTGCTGCAAGATCTCATACTCATTTTAGTGTCAACTTTTTATAACAATATCTATCTGTCTGTCTATCAGTCCGTCTGTCCGTCCGCCTGCCCGTCCGTCCGTCCGTCCGTCTATCTATCTATCTATCTATCTATCTATCTATCTATCTATCTATCTATCTATCTATCTATCTATCTATCTATCTATCTATCTATCTATCTATCTATCTATCTATCTATCTATCTGTCTGTCTGTCTGTCTGTCTATCTGTCTGTCTGTCTGTTTGTCTGTCCGTCTGTCTGTCCGTCTGTCCATGTGTCCGTCCGTCTGTCCATCTGTCTACCTATCTATATGTCTGTCTATCTATCTATATGTCTGTCTGTCTGTCTGTCTGTCTGTCTGTCTGTCTGTCTGTCTGTCTGTCTGTCTGTCTGTCTGCCTGTCTGTCTGTCTGTCTGATACAGTCCAGTCTGATCTCATCTAATCTATTCTAACCTAAACAGAGCAGAAGCCTGAATGCAACGAACTCACAATGACACATTGGTCCATAGATGATGTAGATCAGCTTGGCGCGGAACACCAGCGGCCAGGGCTGCAGGATCCTGAAAAGCCACGCGCAGCTTTCCTCGTTCCTTACCTCGGACAGGAACAGGCAGCGAATGAATTGGCGCAGCGCGATCTCCTCACGCCGCAGGTGCCCTGCGTTCCACATCGACCGCTCATGTATGTCTCCCTCTTTCATTGCGGCGACATCGGCGACTGGAGCAAATTCACCATAGCTGTCGCCGTCAGCCTAGTCCCTGGTGTGGGTACCCTATGAAGTGCAAGCGCAGGCGGCGTGCATGGCACTCTACGGGAACGACGAAAAGCAATCTTAAGGCGATAGCGAGCAGATGCCTCATCAAATGTGAAAACTGACTGTCGTAGTGGTCGTAGTCTGGCGGCGTCAACATGAGTGATGCAAAAAAAATCATCGTGATAACGTCCCTGTATAACGTCATCATAACACCAAATCATTGCCAAAGTTTGCGTCATAATCATAACGTAATATGATGACGTCACATCATAACATAGTCGTTAGGGCCCAAGCGTGCCAATCATGGAGGCCGAGCAAAACAAGCTAAATTGAAGAAAACTTGCAATGCCTCAAATCCTGGTCACAGTGCAAAGTCACGTCTGGTGCAGGAAGCTCTCGCAGGGACGCGTGGGAGGATCGATACGTCTGCTGAGGAGAAAAAAAAAAATGGTGCGCGCATCTTCCCACGGAAGGAACTCAAGTAAAGGCGTCGCAGAGTGGAAAGGGTATAGCGTGAATGTTGCGTGATTTGGTATGGTTTGAGAATGCTTAATTGTTATTTCGTCTTTACGATTGTCATTTATCGAATGAAGAAGCGTTGCCTTCAATGAGTGGTGGGACGCTCATGTGCGATCCAGTGGTTGTGCAGCTCGAGCAGTCGCTTTTTACCAGCATGCAGACGCTGCCTGCGTTGGCCTTGCGAGACAAAAGAGGGGAGCAAGCGGTGCGACTATAGAAATGCTCCGCATTTTAAAGAATATGGCTTTCGTTTGAGAGTCGTCACTCGCTTGCTGGATTCCGTGCCGACCGGTTGTGCCCTCGCGATCTCCGGCGTCAGCGTAGCTCTGGCCGACTGGGCTCGCCCTACGTCACCTCCTGACGCCGACGACTTTCGACGACAGTGTAGCTCTGACCGACTGGACTTGCTCTATGCCATCTACTGACGCCGACAAGAGCTCTCGCAAGTGGTGCCCCGTGCTCGGACTCCTGTGACCGTGTTTACATCTTTCCTATCTCTCCTATCCCCTCAGTTTGTTGTCGCTCCTTCTGGCTTACCACCTCATGTCTCTTCCTCTTTTCTACACCTTTACTCCTTCCCCTTTTATCCCTCCTCACCTCCATCTCTTGTGAGCTACTGTTGAGGTGTCGCTCACTGAAGCAGACAGTTACGGGGCTCACTTTTCTCTACCTTTCTCTCTTAAGAATCACCTTCTTTCTCTCTTGTGAGTTGTCTAAAGTTAATATACTAGTACACTAGGAACCCCGCGAGTTAGAAGAGGGCTCCGGGGAGGATGAGGACAGCTGCCGTTTGTCTTGCACCTGATCTGTGGGCACTGGCAGTTCCAAATGCCGAGTGAAGGTAGCTGGTATCCTTGTGTGCGCTGCATTCACGCGTCTAATGCTACAGCTCGTGCTATTCCAAATGCGTATAGGCTCACTTCCGTTTATGCGGAAAATCAAAGCATTCGACAGTGTACGAGTCACTCACCGGGCCTCGCCCCGAGCACCCTGACGGTGAATCGGTGCGCCCATGAGAGCCCAGCGAACACATTGTACACCAGCTGGCACTCGCTGTCCACCCAGCCGACCACGGCGGTCATCAGGAAGGCGCCGTACTGGTGCCACTGCCGAATCGTGGCCTCCACGTCGCGGGGCAGCCGGCTACGGACGAGCGCCGGCCGGCTCACAAACTGCGTCGGCAACATGGCACCCGCGTACATTGATTGATTGATTGATTGATTGATTGATTTGGCGATGCAACGATAAGCTCACCTTTTCGATAAACCGCAGCATAATCCTGAGTCGATCCTTGGTGGGGAAAAGACAGCTGATCCTCTTCATCAGTACTCCTGGAGCGACAGAGGTTTCTAGTTATTTATTTGCGACCAACGCCACGAATTCGACTATTCTTTGTTGTTGAACCAGTGGTGCTAAGTGTAGGTATTGTGGTCTTCATCATATTACCGTTATGTCACTGGCCTCAAGAGCCTATACGTAATGTCTCTGCTGTTAGTGCTTGCCATCTTACCCCCCCCCCCCCCCCTACGCCACTGCAGTATAGCTTTAGTGCTATATACTCGTTAAATTTATTCCGTTCATATTTTTCAGATGAGGTCGTCTTTGAGTAAGGTCCTGGAACACTTTTTATTTTATGTTATGTGCACTAACTACTTCACAAATGTGGAATTTCTATATCTTCAACTTTTTACGAGAGATATTCGGAGCTAAAGACGTGGAAGATTGGTATGATTTATTTCATAACAAGATCAAGGCACACAGTACGGATATATAATTTTTGTTACGTAAAGCTTTAGACCGTTTGAGGATGCAGGTAAGGAGATTTCTGGCAACTCGAACTTTGATCCTTGCAGAGGGAGGCCGCCAGTTTATCAACGTCCCCATCTACTTTAAGTGCGGCATTAAACATACCACACAGTTGATCGCGGCGTAAGCGAGACAGAGCGACGAGCTGAGGAAACTGGCCAGTCTGTCTCGCATACAAGTCGAAGGTATGCTTAGTACACCGAGAAAGTCCACTGCGTTAACAGGAAAAGGCTCTTAAAAATTCTGCGGTGTTAATCTTACCACTCTAACAAATCTACCTATGAGGCGAACTCACCGAGGCTTTTGCATTGCTTGATGGCGTTTTTCTGCTCCATTTTAGTGAAGCTCAGCGCTGTGACAGCGGGTGGCCAGCTGAGGAAACTTGCCACTCGGTCTCGCATATAAATCGAACATATGCTTAGTACACCGAGGGAGTCCACTGCGTCAACAAAGCGGAGGCAAAAGGCAAGTTTGTTCACTCAGTTCGTAAAAGATGCATAGTGTCCTACACAGTAAACCGATTCTGACCCTTAAGGGTGTCAAAAGGGTGCCGACACCCTAAGCACACCCTTTGAGCACCCTATTCGCGTCTCAGCACCCTACAAGCGGAACCTAAAGGGTGAACACATCAAAAGGGTGGAAACTAGGGTGCCAAAAGGGTGCAACAACTAATGGGTGCTCATGAGCACCCATTAGGGTGCACGGTCACCGACAAAGCTTGCGATGCAAGCATAGCGATGACGGTGATAGATGCCATTGCTAGGACACTGCTAAGACTCTGCGATATTGTGGTTCCTTGTTAAATGCACCATGATCCAAAGATGCTACATCCTCGCGAGTAACTCGAGGCGTATACCATAACATGATCAGATGATTATACGTATACATCTATCAATTCAGGTCAAGCAGAATAAAATTACGAGGTGCCAACGGCATCAATATATACCTACTGTAGGGTAAACCAGCACAGCTAAAATACCCTAATGAACAGTTTTAGCTAAGTGTCGCCTACTCCCCACTTCGGGCAGATTTCTCACCCTGTGACACTGCATAAAACTGCGTTGATTCAGTACTTCGACTAAATAATTTACTAACTTTCTGTAAAAAAAAAGCAGTGAAAAAAGGCTGCTACAGCAAATGGCTTGACAAGATTTCTGTCCTCACCAAATGACGGCTGCGGATTGTTCGCAGGTTAAACAAAGGCGTACTTGATGAAAACAGTAGAACAATAGTTGAAGTTCCTTCAAGTCAGAACGAAAAGGTAATCCTTGTGCATAACAAACAATTTTAGCGAGGCGGAACAAATGCTATAAAAAAGAAAAGAACGCGCAACGATATAATATGGTAACACGTCAAACGGAGTTCAGCAATTTGGAGGTTACAAGACGACGAATCGCAAAGTCGAGTAAAAACAAAGTCAATCTAAAACATGTGTTACAAAAAAAAAAATGTGCCACACTTTGTACAATAACACCATCTGATGGGCTCGTCTCCTCAGATGTGAATGACACGCTGTGCAGCTGCATAGATTTAGGATGGCCTGAGATGCAATTGACAACACTGAACACATTCCTGCTCGCACATTCGCGTTTAGAAAGAGTATGGGTAACCTCAATGAGAACCAACACATCATAGAGAGAGAGAGCGAAAGATGCAAGGACACTGATGCCATGGAACGTATAGGGTATGTTGTTAGAAGTAACTGTGACTGCGGCTGCGTGGCCCTTTTCGAGCGTTGCGAGGTAATAGGCAAGCACTACTCGTAGGTCACGCGTGAGATAATTGAAGCCCATCACATAAGTGAGTTTGGCGGTACATGCGTAAGTTCGCCATCAGTTGTGCTAGTGCGAAAAGAGATTGCGTATCTGGATCATTTTTAAGCTATACTTGTTTCCAGCTCAGTCAAAAAGTGACAAGGGTTTTGTTCGCATTGTATCGCAGTGGTTGTTAACTGCACCCTTCTACGCATGTCCATATTTTTTCACCTATATATGTACACCACTCCACTATTAAATCATTGTTGAAAGTCAACGCTCACTTGTTGAAATTCAGTGCTTGTTTATAGCTTCCGTGGTTACGCTGTAGCTACTTCTAGGTTGCGCTGTTCGTATAATCAGTTATGTCTTACCATCTTGCTCAAGTTTCCACGCTTCATGACATAGAATATAGCTCGAAACACGCACTGATTAATTGATTAATATGTGGGGTTTAACGTTTTAAAACCACCATATGATTATGAAAGACGCCGTGTGAAGGGCTCCGGAAATTTAAACCACCTGGGGTTCTTTAACCTGCACCCAAATCTGAGCACACGGGCCTACAACATTTTAGCCTCCATCAGAAATGCAGCCGCCGCAGCCGGGATTTGATCCCGCGACCTGCGGGTCATCAGCCGAGTACCTTAGCCACTAGACCACCGCGGCGGGGCTGAGACACGCACTGAAGAGACGAAGGAGGGAAGTGGGGCAGAGGTTTGTTTGTTCTTGGACTGTTCGAATGTACGCCATGTTGTAGAGGAAACTGCGCTGAGCTCCAATAAAGGCTCCAGAAATATTTCCGCACAAAAACAAGACGCTTTCAAAGATCAAAGGCCGTGACAAGAAGATGATGAAATAGGCATATTGGGGGAACAATGAGGATGGTGGCTCGCTTTGACATATTACGGAACTATGGTGGCGGCGACGCGGGGAACGAGGGTGGGACAAATAACATTCTTGTTTCAAGCCCAAAAACATAGTGTACGTTGGAGACAGCCGAGGAGTCGACACTATAGCTTTAATTTATGTAACGGTGCCCAACCTGGTTTATTCTTCTCAGAAGTAGCTAGAGCGTGTTTTTTTTTATTGCCTTGTGTAATTAATGACGTTTGCATGAGTCGTGTTACTTTTGCAGCCTTGGCTCGCATGCAATTTATGTAGACACAAATTATAAATGTCTGCACTTTTTCTCCACTTCGTATGGGAAGTATATTTTGTATCAGTTTTTTGAAATGCAAAAAGTAAGATTGTGTTGTCATCACTGCGTACATAAGACAGTCACCTGTGATTACAATTACATTTTACATTACCTTGCAATTCTTTCGTAAAAGTGTTGCGGGCCCAATTAACCGAAAGTACATAGAGTGTACCAGTGAAAAGTCGTGACACAGAGAAGTTCCAAAACACGCCCACTAGAATACATAGTGTGTGAGGAAGGCTTCTTCACAACAGCCGAGGAGTGGACAGTGCCTCGTTAATGTTCAAGGCATAACTGGCTGAAGTGGGCTTGAGCGGGCAGGAGCACGATGTTTTCGAGCCTGGCTGGGCTCGCGCCGAAAAAAATTGGTCCGTGCAGTGTTCTAGGTCATGTGCGTATACAAAGAACAGACCAACGTGTGCTTAGTGTAAACAGAAAGCTCTCGATAAATACACTGTGCAGCAGTGAAAGTGAGGGCTTTAGAAGAAAACTGAAGCACTTTTCTAAAAAAAAAAAACGGCTTAGGAGCGTGTAAGGACAGGTGTAAGGACAGAAAAGCGATGTGAGAGTTCTCGAAAGTGAAATCCAGTAGCACTTTTTGGTGAAAAAGAAAGTGGCTGTGGTCGCCGGGCTTCTTGAGGCGCCGATCGAACACAGTAACGTCATTGTCGGCATGCCACGCCATCTGCAACAGCAGCACTGCTGAAGTGTGGCCTCTTCGATTAGTTCCGGCAACGGCACGTCGTGAGCTAGTCACGGAGGCCATGGTTGAAGGTAAGAAAGAACACATGCTCGGGGCCAGAGGAAACGAAGATGACGTATGTTTCCACGCCCACACTTTCAACGCGCTCGCAGGGGCGTAGCAAGACAAGCTTCTTTTTCGCCTGTTCAAAAGCTCCTGCTGCTGCAACCGCGAAAACAATTACGACATCGTCAACGATAATGCCGATCCTTCCTAAATACAAAGTTTGATTGAATTCTAAAATCCCTTCAGCTTCTATTTTAAGTTATCTAGCGCCTGTTGCAATGCAGGAGGTTACGATTGCTTCAGCTTTGATTAGTAATACTTGCCTAGGTGGCGTCATTTTTCATAATTGCATGCTTGTTACTATGGAATATTTAATAATAAAATGTCAGAGCGGTGCCGGCAAAACTTCCATGTAGTGGGGTGCCGCGACTCCATCAACGTCCCTTACAGCGCACCAGCAATTTATTTATTTGTTTGTTTATTTATTTTATTTCCTGTTCTCGCGTCAAAACGCACCTCTGCTCAGGCAGAAGAAGGTTTGTTTCGCCTGCGTGCACACGTACTTGCAAAGAA